ACCGATCAGTCTTGGTCAAGCCCAAACTCCCCCCGCCCCCAGGCAGCCGTGTGGCATTCTGAAAGGAGTAAAACTGACCCAATAGGCCCACAGACAGTTGTTGTTGTTTTTTAAATAAACATAGAAATTGACTTTTCTGGGCTTAAAGCTTGAAACTCACCAGATCCAGACAATGAGACACCAGGCCCCTCCTTCATCATGATTCCCTACTTAGCCCTCCTGAGTTCCTGTTTTCCCATACATAGTTACATTTCTTCCCTGCTATATAAACCCCTTATTTTAGTCGGTTAGGGAGATGGATTTGAGACTGATCTCCCATCTCCTCAGGTGCAGCACCCGATTAAAGCCTTCTTCCTTGGCCTTAATCATTGTCTCTGTGATTGGCTTTCTGTGTGATGAGCAACAGAACCTAGACCAAACCCCTGGTGTTTCAGTAACAGACCTTGTCTGAAGACCTGGGAGCCACCTAGGTGAGCCCTGGCTGGCCGAGTCTTCAGAAAATGTTGAACCTGTCTCTGCCTGAGATGAAGATAAAAGTAACCGATGCTGCTCACTGACCTCACTGCAAGGTGCTGCGAGACAAAAATGTGCACGCGCTCTACAAATTCAAGTTGTCGTCAAGATTAGTGACCATTCAGAGCCCTCCCTCTGGTCCCAGGGGAGCCCCCGGCAGAGGATGGTAAACTTGAATCCCCTGGGGCCCTCAGGAGCAGGAACTCAAAGCAGGCCTCTGAAAATCTGAAATTTCTGCAGCATCTCTTGTTTGATCTTCAAAGCTCATACAGGCTTTATGTTTCACTCATAATCCATTAATTTTTTTTCTTACTAAGAGGACATTGTAAATTAATTACCATCACTGATGCACCTGGTCAGTGAGGCCCCAGCAAGTTGTGACAGGCACACTTGGTGGCTGTCCCAGACACCAGCTCTCACGGCAGTTTGAGCGGCATCATGGCTATGGAGATCCTCACAGTTCCTTCCAAGAAGGGTTCAAATGGCCAACGTGAGCCCCATTATTATAGGACCTCGCTGGTCTCTGTGTAGCTGAGATCATCTAGTAAATCCTTGTCTACGTTTGGGTTCCCCCAGAAGCAGAGCCTCAGACAAGGACTTGGTGCAGGTGATTTGGGGTGAGGGGAAGGTGAGCCCAGGAAGCAGGAGGGAGGGAGTGAAAGAGTAAGAAAAGGAAAGAGGAAAAGCCAATACCCAAAGGCTTTGGTGAAGCTACCGCTGTGGGTCATGGGGACCTGGTTCCTCTGGAAGGGACACACAGAACACCCCTGAGATTGCCCCACCCCATCCAATGCCAGTCAGAGCCAGCTCCTGCAATCAGTGCTGGCAGATTCCGGGGGGATGAGCTCACCCACACTCCCAGACTGGGCTGGCACCTGGCAAAGTGGGCTCCCTGGGGCCCTGGAGCACAAAGTGAAAAGATGCCCTGTGCTCCTGGAGTGCGGATATTGTCAGGCTGCAAAGGTCTTGGCACAAACAGAACCTTCCAGCTTCGGTCACATTGGTCCAGGCCTGACTGCTCCTACAACCCTCAACCCTCTGGGAGGCCTAGAGCTTGAGTCCTTCCTCACAGCAGAGTTCACCTTGGGCTGAAATAGAAACACACTGTAACTGTGGGAGGGAAGCTTTCTAAGTCATATTACCCACTCAGCCTCGATCCAGCACCTCCATGGATGGTGCTTCCTTGATAACTCAGGCTCATCATGGATATGGCCACTGCCCAGAGATGAGAGGTGCACCCCGGAACCCATCAAGGCCAGGGCTGTTGGACCCACACTAGGGAACCCCCCAAATGCCCTGTTTCTGCATTGTGTGGCTGTTCTGATACCTGTGGTATCCTGCCGGTGGCATATGAGCTTTCTAGAAAACAATTTGAGACCATATCTCAAAAACTTTTAGAACAGGCAGAACATTTTCCACAATAATATATAGATATCCAAAGAGCTGTCATCCCAAGGAAACACCTGTAAATGTCAATGTCACCTCATTGTTTATAATAGCAAAGAACAAAGAATTTAAATGTCAAAGAAAGGGGGTTGATAAATAATTTCTGGCTAAGTTACACAATGGATTGTTATACGCAGAGTGTGACCTGAAGTCGTACAGTCCTGATTTCATAAATCTATCCAAATATACACTTTTAAAATCCTAAAATAAAATACACCAAAACTCCAAATGCAGTAACCCCTCAGTGGTGAGATTAGTCATTTGAATTGTCTTCTTCATACTTGTCTGTATTTTCCAAATTTTCTGTAAGCATGCGTGCCTTTTATCATCAGAGCCAAGGCTTTTTGCAATGACACGAGGGCCACCCTCTCAGACACTGGGCCCACTAGGACCGGAGGCCCCTCTGCACTCATAGCTAAGGCCATTCCTGGACATGAGAAATCATGATTCTGGGACCTGCCCACCTCCCAGGGTTCACTGGGCTCCCCTCCCATACAACCCAGTCTCTTGAGGAGTCAGGGGCTGTCTCTGGCAGGTGATCCCCGTTGTCCAGTCCTGAACAGAGCCAGCTGGCATTTTAGCAAAACGTTCTAAACAGTTTCTGACCCAGAGGAACCTGGAAACTTCAGCCTCTTGTCCCAGCCTTGAAAACAGCTTTGCCAGGCACATCCTGGTACAGGGCCTGGGAGATGATCAAGCCCATTGTCCAGGACAGAAAACCGAGGCCACCCAGGACTGTGCCGCATCTGGCCATCCCCTGGTGATCCCATTAAGCCTAAGTCCCAGCCTGACTGAGAGCCCCACACGGGCTGATCTGTGAGGTTACTGGAAAGAGGAAGCTGGCCTCAGGTTCAGGAGGGCTCCGCATCCTTACATCCCACTCTCCATGCCCAAGACCAAGATGTGTCCCAGTAAGAGCAGGGCTAGTCTACCACAACATGGCCAAGGCACCCTTCGGGGTGGCCAGGAAAAGTCCAAGAGGGCAAGAGTGCCCTCCCTGCCTGTACAGTGCCTCCTCCTTCAAGAGCTTAGGTTTGGGAGCCAGATAGTCCTGGGTTCAGATTCTAGCTTGAGAACTTGGCTTGGCCATTCATGTCTCTGTCTGGGAGGAGCTTTCAGGAAATTACCAGCTCCCTGGTTTGAACCCTAGTAGCCATCACCAGGTGAGCACCTCAGAGAGCTGTGGGCAGCCTACCCACTATCAAAGGCAGTCTCTACCAGGGCAGGGGGAGCGTCGCGGCCCTCCTCTATAGGCTGCAGCCTGGTCTCTGCCTCCTCTCACGGAATCCCACCTCCCACTGGGGTAGGGAGCCACTCAGCAGGGAGCCCATGCCACAGATATGGGGCTCTGAGAAGGAAGCAACTTTGCCACCCCCCTCTACCACCCCCAAAAGCAGGACCTGATTCCAGATGTGGCCTGCCAGGGGGCCACAGCAGGCAGGGACCTCAATGTCATCCAGTCCAGTAGTATTATGTTACTTAGGTGTTAAGATATCACATTTCTTAGCTCACCCTAAATCAACATAAACCTGTCTAGGAGCCCCCATTCAACAAAATGGTTAAGTAATACAATGCCTTTGTGTTGGGTGATCCCTCCAGTGTCAAAGACCTCCATGAGATTCAAGGATGGGGTCTTGCATCATCAAGCCCCAGCAGTCCTCTCTAAGGGCTTGCCAACAGCTCTGGGAGTTCAGCACTTGGATCCAACCCAGATGATCCTACCCAGATGATCCAATCCAGGTGATCCTGTGAAGGTGGATGGCTCTGCTATCTTTGTGCCAAGCTTGGAAACAGATATTCTAGTGAACCAGGAGCCTGGGCACCTGCAGTCCCTCTCTCTGTGTGTCCCTGACATCCATGTCCTTCCAAAACCCTTCCCTCACCATGGCCCCTCCAGGGGATGTGTGTGAGTAGGGCCCAGGTTCCTGCCCCTTCTAGAACCACAAAACCCTGACCCTTGCCAGCCCAGCCCACATGCCTCCTTCACGTTAGTTCACATCCCCCCTTAGAGGCCTGCCACTATGAGATAACCAAGCCCGACAGCTCCTGGCTACCTGGCTTTTGAAGCAAATGTCTGGGTGAGGTCTGTGTTCTCTGTGTCCCACATCTTCTCCAAAGAAAGGGGGTTGATAAATAATTCCTGGCTAAGTTACACAGTGGATTGTTATATGTAGAGTGTGGCCTGACCTCCAAAAGCTGTCAGCAAAACTCATGCTGCACTCATAAAGGTTTGGCTACCTCATACATCTGAGGGAAGGAAAATACAAGGATGCAAAGAAAATAGCATCTTGATAATTATCCTGTCTCTGAAGTGCATGGAAAACGGTCTGGAAGGATGTACACCCAACAGAGAGGGACCAAGGAGGGCTGCAGGGAAGCAAAGGAGACTTTATAGCCACTTCGAAAAACTGTATATTTGGGACGTTTTATTACTCATCATGTATTATTCTCATTATTCTTTTTCTCTCCCTTTTTTGGGCTAGTTCTGGCTAAATAACAGAAAACAAAGTAATTTGTTATTTACCAAGCTTTAGTTACGTGCCAGGTGACCAAAGCAAATGTGTATTTACAGTTATGATGTAAATTAAACAATGAGCTGCATTTGGCCAGGCAAAGAGCGATGGAAGTGAACAGTGTCACAGGCAGAAGGAGGAATATCAGCTGGTCCTGGGTGGGAAAGAGCTTAGCAGATTGGAGGAACAAAAATAGGCCAGTGTGGCTAGAGCACAGTGATTCAAGGAGCAGAGACAGAGAGGAGGGTGGAGAGAAGCCTTGAGGCAGATCACATGGAAAGTTAAGGAAGGTTGTGTTCAGGGAGTTTGTGTTTCATTTGACGGTGCTGGGAACCATCAAAGGCTTTTAAGCAGGGAGCAACATGATCAGATTTACATTTTTAGTAGACAACTCTGTCTTCTTGCTGTGTGGAGAATGTTGGAGGGCAAGACAGGAAGTGTTATCAGTTACAGAATGCCAAGAAGAGGAATCTCATGATGCATGATTTTAAAAGAAAAATAAATAAAATAAATGGCACTGTTTCTTACCAGGAGGAGCCTGACATCCAAGGAGACAGGGGCAAAAGAATTAGTTGTGTTACCCCAGCAGGCAGGACAGAGAGAAGTTGGTGGCTGAGGCTGTGGGTCCATGGTGATTGGCTGTGCTGCTTGCCAGTCAAGTGATGTGGGCAGGTTGTTCAACCTTTCAAAGCACCGGTTTCTTCCTCTGAAAAGTAGAAGGTAGTTATATCTACCTCCCAAGATTGCCAAGAATATGAGTGAGCTACTGCATGTGTCATATATCATGCTTAGCTCAGTAATGTTACTTTATAACCATCATCGTCATCACCATTAATGTCTTCATCATCATCACCATTATCACCACCACCACCATCATCATCACCACTACCATCATCATCTTCAACACCATCATTCATCATCATTGCCACCACCATCATCACCACTATCATCATAATCATCATCACCATCACAATCATCACCATCATCACCAGCACCGCCATCATCACTGCCACCATCATCATTACCACTACCATCATCATGATCTTCATCACCATCATTTATCATCATTGCCACCACCATCATCACCACCACCATCTTCATTATCATCACCATTATCACCACCACCACCACCATCAACATCATAATCATCATCACCAGCACCACCATCATTACCACTACCATCATCATCTTCAATGCCATCATCTTCATCGTCATCTCCATCATTGATCCTGCTCCTAGACTCCATCAAAGTCCAGAGTCCAGCATTCTACCCCAACTCACCTCTTAATAACTCTGGGATCTGAGTGGGCTTTGTATCCTCAGTCTCCATGCCCTCTGTCAGGCTGTTCTCACAATTGTGGGGCTCCTTGTTCAAACTGAAAATGTGGGACCTCTTCTTCAAAAAGCAGGAAAAAAGTGTCCTTGAAGTTACTAAAATATAGAGCTTTCTTCATTCTTCCAGTCTCTCTCTCTCATCTTGTCGTGATACTTTTTATTTGCTATTTGATGCCTTGATGCCATTCTAAGTAAAGAAAAATTAAAATTTTTAATTACTAACATGAATTTTACCATTCATCATTACATTGCACAATACCAGTTTTAGATACAAATATAAGAACATTTAACTCATACGGGAAATCGTCAGAATTATAATTTGTATCTGATATTTTGTACGTACAAGTATATTTTTGTCGTTGCTAGAACAGTAGAAATGCTGTACAAAAAAAAAACTCAACTGCTTTCTGTTTTTATTTCACTCCTGGATAGAATCACATTCTACCAACACTCTCTGCCTTTGCCTTACTGATGGGTAAGGAAGAACTGAAGCAAAAAGGAACTATGGCTGCTCCGTCTTCCCCTTTCCTTCTGTGTCATCACTTTCGGTGTAAGTGCTTGGCTAACACAGGGAAGAGACATGAGTAAGAAAAGGCATGACAGGTTTCCTTGGTCGTTTGTGTTTCTTCCAACATCGCTGCCCTTTTTCTGCATTCTAAGCAAGTTCTGGTTTGAATGGAAAGTGTGGCCTGTCAGGGCTGTCTATGCCCTTGCTCACTCAGCTGTGCATACAACACGCATCCCTTGTACTCACTTTGAGTCACGCTTCCATGCATCATGGGTTCCCTGGAACACTCTGCTCATGGGGCATCAAGAATACCACATGCTGATGAGGCAGCAAGGAACAGCAGGCATGTCTATTGCACGAATCTCCAGCTCATGTGCCCACTCCATGGTCCCATTAGACTTCACCTGCAAAACACCAGTTCAAAGATAAAATTATTAAAATTTCAAGATGATGGCAGAAGAGCATTAACCCAAGAAGCTCAGGGCCTGATCACAGGGCCCTTTGCAATTGCACAGGCCTCAGGCCCATGAGGCTGGCCCTGGCTCTCCTGGAAAATGGGCACAGTTTCCAGCTTGTCCATCTCACAGGGTTATGGGAGGCCTATACACAAGCCAGCGGTGGAAACACTTTGCACACAGTAACTGTGACCGTAACCGTAACTGGACCAATATTCAGCTGCCACACTCCCCCGAGCCTGCAGAGCAAGCATGCCACACCAGGAACAGCGGGCTCCAGCTGCAGCCAACACCAGTGGGGAGCTGGGCAGCGATGAGCTGATTCGAATTCCAGATGAGTGTGAATGACACAAAATCTATTTTACTTGCAAATTCTGAACTGTGTGCAGGAAGCCAGCAAGCTCAGCATCACAACATGTTTCACCGAGCAGCCATTGGGCTGTAAAACAGACAATCGCTGTTTGCAGTCAAGCTCTGTCATGCTGGGCAGGTCAAGGCCAGCTCCCTCCTGCCAGAGCTCAGCAGAGGTGTGAGATCCCCTTGTAAAGCCTTGCCAGTGTCTGGGGAAGGTGTCAGGAATCGTCACACCTTCCCCATTTGGAAAGCGATTCTGCAACATGGGAATTCTGGGCTGTTCTGAGGCTCTGTCCAGCTCAACAGGCAAAACAGAAGGGGAAGCCCCCAAGATCCAGAGACCCGACTCTCTACCCACAGCCATGGAACCCGGGTCCATTGGTGATGCTGAGGGAGCCCCTGAGCCCTGGGTGAGCTTCCTCAACTCTAAAGTGGAAGCAAGAGTGTCACAAGGACATTACAAAGGCTTTCTGCCCATGACTGTTCTCACACTCACATCCACCTAACACGTGGGCATCACAGCCCCCCACTTAACATCGCTGCACCTGAGGCTTTGCAAAGTTAAGTGACAAAAACTGTGATTGTCCCAGCGGTACATGACAAAATTGAGGCTTTGAGAGGTTAAGCAGTTTGCCTGAGGTCACCAGCAGGGCCACGGGCCACACCCAAGTCTGGGTAACACCTAGATCCATGCTCTGACTCAGGGCACAAGAGCTAGGAAGAAATAAGCTCATGTGTGTGACAAGGCATCATGACCTTCACTGGAGCACAGTGTGGGTGGCACCGCTTGCCCTAAACACAGAGGGCATCTCCTGGGCCACTGTCAGGGGAGAAAGGGGGTGGCACTGGGGGAGGAATTATAGCCTATCTGCCTCCAGGGCCCCTTGGAGCCTGGCCCAGAGTTGGAGAGGCATTTTTCCCTCCAACTTGCCCAGTTCTCCCCTACCCCTCCAAACACACACATACACACACACACACGCACATTCTATATCTGTGATGGCCCCTCACCAGCTCCCTTCAGCCCACTAGTTTTCTCCATTCTCCCACCCAGCCTTCCTTAAACCCTCCTGCCCCTTTTCCTCACAATGCCATGGCCTGGCTGCAGAATCACCAAGGTCCTAATTCCGCAAGGTTTTATGCCCCCAGCTCTGAGCCCCAGACCCCATCTGATGATGATGGGGCTCCCTGCAGCAGAGGGTGGGGTGTGGTGTGTGTGTGCATGTGTGCATGCGTGCATGCATGCATGTGTGGGTATGTGTGTGTGAGTGCCTGGCAGGTGGGGCCCCACTGGCCTGCCTGTTCCTTGCCTGTTCACACCAGTATAAAACCAACTGGACAATAGGCCCTGCCCACATCAGAGAGCTCTAAGGACTCCCACTCTGAGCAGAAGGCTCTGGGGGAAACACTAGAATTTAGTAGGAATTCTAGGCGGGGGGAATGGAGAAAATGTGTAAAGTATGTAAACGATAGAAGATCATTCCCAGGTGCCAAAGGAATCGACAAATGTTCAGGTTGTTAAGGTCCCCCAGATACCAAACTGCATCTGCCCTAAAGACGAAGAAACCCCCACCATCTCCAAATGTTCATCATTCCCCCCTTCTCTCTTCATAAATACGACAACCAAACCAGGTAATGAAGGACACCAACCATGCAGAAGGTAAGAACAAACAAACAAAATGCAAAGAACAGGAAGGAACTTTTAAAAAGTTAGTGCTTTTAGAGAAAGTCAAGAAGGTATCGTGTCCCTAAAAAGAAAACAGGCTCTGCTTAAAATGGAGCGATGAGAAAGCAAGAAAGAATTCTCAGAAGTACAATTGCTAAAAGAAAAATTTCATGGAAAAAGATGTACAGTTGAAGAAATTTCTCAGAATATATATCAACAAAACAAAGAGAAAAATACAAGAGAAAACACCTGAGATATATAAGCTCAATCTATGAAGTTCTATATTCATGTACTATGAATTACAGAAAAAATAAAATGGAGAAAATGTATACGTTATACAAATGAGAGTATAGCATCTCCCAAGTACTGCAGGAATCTACACATCTTCTGGTTGACAGGACCTTCTAGATACCAAGCAGAATAAATGAAGAAAGACCTGCCTCCAGATAAACTGTCATGAAAACTGGAACTCCAAGGACAAGGAGAAGATTTTAAAAGCTTCCAGATGGGAAAAACAGATTATTGGCAAAGGAATTACAATCATGTTGGAGTGTGACTTCTTATCAGCAACGTTGAAAACCAGACTAGAGCAATGATCCCAAGTTCTCATTAAAGAAATAAAACTCTAAACTTACAATTCTGTTTTTGAATAAAAACTATTAAATAAGTGTGGGGCAAAATAACATTTTCAGGCATGATAATACTTAAAAATCTACATCCCGAATATTCTTTTTGAAAAATACTCTCAGGATATTCTCCAGCAAAATGAAGAAGGTATCTAAGCGAGAAAAAAGATATGGGAATTCTAAAAACAGGGTAGACATATCCCAGGCATCCAAAGAAAAACTTCTAGATAACAGAACTAGAAAAAAAAATCTGTCCAGATCCTAACAAGGGGTAAGAGAACCCTGGGGGTGGGGGAGTAGGGGCAGACGTGGGGTGGGGAACCTTCAAGAAGAGAACATTTTCTCATTTTCTTTAACAAAAGGTAGGGTTGGAGACTAGATAGTTTAAAGACATAATAGAGGTATATACTGTAGTTCTCTTGTCAAAAAGAAAAAAACATAGCAAGATCCCATCTCTAAAAAAGGTTTTAAATTAGCCAGACATGGTGATAAGCACCTGTAGTCGCAGCTAATGGGGAGGCTGAGGAAGGAGGATTACTTGAAACCAGGAGACAGAGGCTGCAGTGAGCTATAATAGTGCCATTGCATTCCAGCCTGAGCAACAGAGCGAGATCCCATCTCTTAAAAAAGAAAGAAAGGAAAAACAATTAAAAATTCCAGGAAGAAAAATAAAGTTCTATGCTATACTATTGTAAACTGCATTTAAAGGTTGACTTTGAGGCTAAATAGTACTTGTTTTGCAATGATAATAAAAATACAGCTTTTAGTGAAGCACAATGTCATGGTAAAAACAGTATTCTTACTAAATTAAAAAACCTATGAAGTGGAAATTTACTTGGAATTGGTGATGGTTCACATATAATTTATAATTGGTTCCAAATAGACTGTGATATTCTAACAATTTAAGTAAAAGCTGTAGTTGCCAACATTTACAAATTTTATATATATATATATATATATATATATATGCTATGTAACAAAAATTCTGTGACAAAGCTGATTAAAGATGAAAAAAACCATGCTACAGCATGGGTTGTGTGCTTTCTCTCTTTGCTGCCTGCCATATATCAGATTTAGAAAAGTTTGAGCTTTTGAAGTCAATCTGAGTATCCTGCGACAATATTAAACTTTTTTGTAAATGAGTCCTCTAAATTTTGGATACATGCTTTTCAAAAAATTGGAGATGCTTGATCAGATTATTCAACACATGATCTTTCAGTTTTTGAAGTTTTGAAAGAATTGCAGTAATTGAAAACAAAGCCTACAAATGAAAAGATGTTGGAATTTATCCCTAAAAAAAAAAAAAGGAGAAACTCAGCACGTTAAACAATTAGACCTCAACGTGGAAATTCTATAATGATATTTCAGAATATCTTGACTTGTGACAAGACTCTTTTGATGGAGCTTCTATTTTAATTAGAAAGAAATATGTTGTTCCAGGAGGGCACGAAACTGAGAAAGCATACAACTTTGCAGCTTCCAAATTTAACGAAGCATTTGAAAGAATCACAAATAAATATGACTTATTTGATGAATTTTGTCTTGTAAAAATATTTGCTGAAGAAAGTTACTCTG